GGCATGGTGCAGCCGTATAGCCTCGGCTACCAAGCACAGATAAATTAAACTCAAAACATGCTATTCTGTTCTTTCAAAATAAATGGTCATAATATTTTTTATGACTTTCGTAAACAAACTATTAATGGATTTCTTTGCGATTGTGTATGTTAAATAGATTTATTGGGATATTGGTACTCGTCATGATGCTTTGAGGTAGAAATGCTCAAAGTTTTGGTCCCACTTTATTTGGATAGTCCAGATAGTCATACTGTCAACAAACGATCTGTTGATAAGCAACTGCTTGCTAAGGTTACGGTTAGGTTTAGAATAAAGGTTAGGGTAAGGGTTAAGGTTAGGGTTAGGGTTAAGTTTAGGGCTAGGATTAGGGTTAGTAGATAGTTAGTTATACTAAAGTTTTTGTCTTTCATGATATTTATCTCAAAGTATAGCTAGACTGTAAAATACACATATTTAGGAAAAGTCAGGGACAGGTGGTTCAAGGTTTTTATTGAAATTAAGCTATTGAAATTACAAAATTGAAAATGGTCAGATTGACCGTCTTGGCAGTTCTATTGTTAAGGCCATTTCACCTTTTCTCAGCAGCACCGTCTATACTTATTAAAAATGTACTTGGAACTTTCGTAGAAAGACTGTTTATTTCACAGAAACATTTGAGAAACTACATCATACAGTACATATGCTTTATGTGGGCCAACCTCAAATCTTACTTTTTCGGGTCTATGTTTGTAGCTGGGTAGTTACCTTGTTGTTTTCGTCTTGTTTGTCTGTTGTTTCCTATTACTTTCCGGTCATTACCCAGTTATTTCAGCACTGTACTTAAGTCATTATTATGTAACTTACTGGTAGTTTCTTCATAGTTTCACCACAGTTTCAGTGTACCTATGGTGCCTTGACACTGTATTCTAAAGAAATATATTTTCCCCTGTTACCATGTACCTTACTGTTACTTTCTTTATAGTTTCCAAGACAGATTAACACAATCACAAATAATTAAGGTACTACTTTCAAAAATTTTACTTAATTGATGGAACAGAATACTGTAGTTATAATTTTTTTACATTACTAATAGTTTCTACATAACACAAAGAAAGATAAATAATATACTGTTAGTATGGAGCCAATCCACAACACCTGAATGAAAGGATTGGAAATATTTATTTAGCTTCTTGTAGCATACATTCAATCATCAGTCATCATAGCTTTTGCATACCTAGCTAATGGCTTCAGTTGATAGCTACTGGACGGTCCCAATCCAGCCAAAGCAATCCACACATTGATATCTACATTGATTTGCATCCACACTGAATACTTATGTAAATAAGGTATTTCTGTCCTACATTTTTTATACATTTGCAAAAAAATCTAAAAATTATCGTAGGGCGCCCGGTAATCAATGCACGGCCACTGCCCACCATCATTTTTCAACACTAAGAAGAAACCTGTGCCCGTTGATATACTCCCACATGGCCAGCGTCTCCGGCCAGGACAAGGAAAATAATCACCATCGTGTGGGCATGGCGCCCGGCAGGAGATCGATAATGCAGTCGTATGGCCTGTGAGGAGGTAGGCCCCTGGCATGCCTCTTACTAAACACGTCCCCCAGATCCCAATACTCCCGGGGAACGCCTGCCAGGTCTGGGCCGGTGACGGAATCTGTAGCCGCGTTGATGACAGCATTGCACACTCTTGACATTCTCTCAACCAGCTTCATGAGGAATGCTTTTCCAACAGTCTTGAAGGAGTTCCCACATATACTGAGCACTTGTTGGCTGCTTTTCCTTCACTCTGCTGTCCGACTCATCCCAAACCATCTCAACCTGGTTGAGGTCGGGGGATTGTGGAGGCCAGGTCATCTGATGCAGCACTCCATCACTCTCCTTCTTATAGTAAAATAGCCCTTACACAGCCTGGAGGTGTGTTGGGTCATTGTCCTGTTGAAAAACAAATGATAGTCCCACTAACCCAAACCAGATGGAATGGCGTATCGCTGCAGAATGCTGTGGTAGCCATGCTGGTTAATTGTGCCTTAAATTCTAAATAAATCACAGACAGTGTCACCAGCAAAGCACTCCCACACCATAACACCACCTCCTCCATGCTTTACGGTGGGAACTACACATGCGGAGATCATCCGTTCACCCACACTGCGTCTCACAAAGAGACGGCAGTTGGAACCAAAATTCTCAAATTTGGACTCAAGACCTAAGGACAAATGTCCACCGGTCTAATATCCATTGCTCGTATTTCTTGGGCCAAGCAGGTCTCTTCCTCTTATTGGTGTCCTTTAGTAGTGGCATCTTTGCAGCATTTAGACCATGAAGGCCTGATTCACACAGTCCCCTCTGAACAGTTGATGTTGAGATGTGTCTGTGACTTGAACTCTGTGAATCATTTATTTGGCCTGCAATTTCTAAGGCTGGTAACTCTAGTGAACTTGTCCTCTGCAGCACAGGTAACTCTGGGTCTTCCATTCCTGTGGCGATCCTCATGAGAGCCAGTTTCATTATAGCGCTGGATGGTTTTTGCGTCTGCACTTGAAGAAACATTTTCTGGATTGACTGACCTTCATGTCTTTAAGAAATGATGGACTGTCATTTATCTTTGCTTATTTGAGCTGTTCTTGCCATAATATGGACTTGGTCTGTTGCCAAATAGGGCTATCTTCTGTATACCAACCCTACCTTGTCACAGCACAACTGATTGTCTCAAACGCATTAAGAAGGATAGATATTCCACAAATTAACTTTTACAAGCCACACCTGTTAATTGAAATGCATTCCAGGTGACTACCTCATGAAGCTGGTTGAGAGAATGCCAAGAGTGTGCAAAGCTGTCATCAAGGCAAAGCGTGGCCATTTGAAGAATCTGAAATATAAAATATATTTTGATTTGCTTAACACTTTTTGGGTTAGTACATGATTCCATTTGTGTTATTTAATAGTTTTGATGTCTTCACTAATATTCTACAATGTAGAAAATAGTAAAAATACAAAAATACTTGAATGAGTAGGTGTGTCCAAACTTTTGACTGGTATTGTATATAAAGACCTGATAATAGATAACACTAACACATCAGTTATAGTAAACTTCCAGTTGAAGTGCTTGGCTGAGAGGCCTCAGGTGGTGGCTTCTCAACTTCCTCTGGCTCCTTCATCTCATTCTCTTCATCCTCGTCTTCTCAGAGTAGCTCAGCATCAACGGCATCTTCCTCTAAGAAGGCCATACCTTCATGGTCCACTTAATCCTGCAGGCCTTCTGCAGCAATGACCTGCGGCTCATCTACCACCAGTGTCGTCCTCCTCATGGATAGGGACTGCATTATCCGCTGGTGCTGGTCTCCTCTGTCCATTTCTAAAACTCAAACATAGAGACAAACAATGAAAATAAACATTTCAAATGTAATTCAGTGACAACCCCTCCAAAGAATAGCCTAAGATTTACAACAAATTATATTCAGAATACACTTCAGTACATAAAAAATGGAATAATCAATGAAAGCGAAGTGTACCCACAAGTTATCAATTGCAAGATGACGAAGTAAAATGTTATTATCCAAAGGTGAGAAAACATGTCATATAAATGCATATCTGATAGTCCATAACTGAAATATTATGATCATGTATGCCTGTAAGTTGCAAAATCACAAACCAGCTAGACCATGAACATTTAGTTACCAAGCTGACCACCACAAAGGCATTATTTATAAGCTACTATAAGGTTTAGGCTATAACGTTACGTTCATTCTTGCAATCAACAGCCAGAAGGCTTAATATTTTATAGGAACCATATCACATATAGACACTTAAGGGGATGACTACATGGCTATGGGGATATATGACTAGCTAGTAAAATACGTTATACCAATCAAATTTTCCTTCAAAACACTCCTCTCTCTTTTGGCTGGCTAGCTAAGGACAAAATATAATCACTAGCCAGTTTGTTTTTAGCTCTAATACCTAATGACAAATGCATTTTATTTTGTACAGTTACCAAAGAAAACACTAATATAAAAAAGACAAAACAAGAGTTAAATCCAGTAGGCTACCTTGCTCCATCTTGGGTAACTGACTTGACCAACACAGGCTAACTAGCCATCATAGTTAGCTAGGTGGCTAGCTAACATTATCTGAGAAGATTTAAAAATAAATCTCTGATTCACTTCATAAAGCTGTTCATGTACTTAAAAAATATAGATGTCATTGATCAGATAATATTAACTTTTACCTCCAGATAGAAATGGTCAACTCACTTTCAAGCTGATTCTACTTTTCAAGTCTCCTCGGCTTGGTAGCTAGCTCACCAGGCTTCAAAAGCTAATTTCATAGACTCATCTTATCAATCAGAAAAAAATACACTAAAATGTAAATATTATCATTACCAACGTAAAAACGAATTATATACAGTTTCTTACCTTAATATTGTTGTCAAATCTGAATGGTGGCGCAAGTTGGTCATAACCTGTCAGATTGAGAGGGGAAGAAGCGGCTCCCTGTGGCAGCAGCGTCCAATGAGCTATTATCATGTTGACCTTTTCCTTTTGAGAGAAAGCCTAATTCCCGCCCCTTAACACCTAAAACAATAATATATCATTAATACAGACATTATAACCTATCAAAAGAGTAGTTTTATGAAAAAATTGGTGATTGTAGAGATATTGACGTGACAAACATGGAAACATGTTTCCGATTTTTGAATGGACTGGCTGGAAAGGGTAGATGGTGCTGCTAAGAAGAGGTGAAATGGCCTTAAGTACTTACTACATACTGTATCTTCTGCTTATTAGCCTCTATTATTGATAGTTCTTCAGTAACCAATAATTGTTTCTACATAACAACCATGAAAATTCATCACACTTTATATAAGTATTTAGCAGCTACAAACAAACTATTAACGGGTTATTACCGTGTTCGTATCTGGTAGTTGCTGTCATGTTTTCCTGCTGTTTCCTATTACTTTCCAGACATTACCCTTTTATTTCAGTACTGTAAACTAAAGTGCTACCAAACCCCGGCCCCTTTAACATGCTCCCTCCCCTTTCCATGATTGACAAGGAGACTGACCTCGTGAATCAACAGGTCCTGAGTCAGAGGCTTCACTGCCACCTCCTGCACCACAAGGTTCCCCTGGGCATCTGAGATACTGCACAGAACAAACAGAATTATATTATTTTCCACAATAATTCTGTAATAATGAGAAGCGTGCCAACCGGGTAACATCACTGCATAATGGATAGCTCTCACTAGCGAGTTCACATCTGCTACAGTACATGTCTATGACAGGTCATAAGAGGTTGTAATGTCTATGACAGATCATAAGGAAGTTATAAACATCCCTGAAGTGGTCAGCACTCACTGGAAGAGCTTGACGCTGGACCTCAGCTTCTGGTCGACCACGTCATCAGACGCGATGCTGTCCCTGATGTCTCGTCTCGTCTCACCCAGGTGCTGCTTCATCAGCTTCATGGCCTCCTCTGAAGACTTCTCGTCGTCCCCTTCCACCACGGTAACCTGCGCCCGTCCCCCTCTTTCCCTGTCACGGATGTCCTTGGCTAGAGTCATCCCCTGCAAAGAACAACAACCGCGACAACATCAACCTTACAGAACTGTCGACATTCACAATCTACTACCCCACTGAGCCATTGGAACCACAATCCAGCCTTCATTTAATGCTTTCCCATGCTGTAAGGGCTAGGTTTATAGGCAGAGGTCTTCCTTCTTAGGGGCCTTGTTTGAATACTTAGAAAATGCACCCTTCTTCTCTTCCTTGTGATTATCACTGATCTGATATGCCTGGAGGTGTGAAGGCAATGTGGTCTAACTCGTGATTTCACCTATCACACATTCATTAAGCACCAAAGTTAAAAAAAAACTAAAATGCCACCACTCAACTGTTTCACTTCCTGAAAACACAGATGGGAACTAAACTCTGCCGAGATCTGTCCATTTTGGTCACAGCGTTTAGATGAAGAAAATGTTACCTATAAAGTGATGTTCAACTAGTACTGTATTTCTCTGTAGCTGTGGTCTAAAATGTCTCCTTACCTTGAGTCTTTCCATACGGTTGCTCTTGGGTCCGTTCCACTGGATGATGAGGTTGCCCAGGTCCAGCAGGAACACATCCCCCTTGTTAAAGCTGTTCCAGCTCATGTCCACCTGTGCTCACGGATGGATGGATGGATGGATGGATGGATGGATGGGGATGGAAAGGACACACTGATTAATTTAATTCTAACATTGCCTGAATTTTATTAACAGTATGATACAAACTGCAACAGGAGAGCACTTGTCGAATTGATACTTTTACTCTATGCTGACGTGGTTATATCAAGTAACATTGATACCTGTGGCGTCATGACCATAGGGGGCACAAAGGCGCATGCCCCCTCAAATTAGTCCTGTTTTTACATTTTCAGATGTTAAATTCATTACTAAACGTAATTTTTAAGCCCACGTTTTATCCTTATTATTTACAAAACAATCGGTCAGCGGTATTTTGCAGAGGGGGCACACTGACTGGATCAGGCAAAGAGGACCCCCCTCTATTCTCCCTAGTAAGTGGTTCCTTCCAAGGTGCACGGAGCAAAGAGATGCTTAGGCAGGATACTCTAGTCACTAGTGCGTGCAGTATCGTCAGTGGAGGAGGAGAGAGAGAGTCACACACATACAGCGTTTATTTGATTTTAGCTGCCAGAGGTATGCTTGTAAATACATTTTCTCAAGCTATGTAGCCTATTGATTCCTTCTTGATGAATAAATAAAACTAAAATGTTTAGTTGTTTCTCTATAATACTAGCCACCTAGCAGTTTTATGAAGTTGGCTTACCTAACCAGCTAGATAGGTTCCCAATCTGCCAACCTCATCACTAGCAATTAACCAAAATTGCTTTAATTATTGGGTTATGATACCAATGTAAACTCCTAAGGCATAAAAGTTCTTAAAGAATCAATGTGTATCATTAATTAAAATGACAATTGAACACTTAAAGAGGTATGCTTAGATAACCTATCCAGAAAAATATACTGTGCATTCAGAAAGTATTCAGACCCCCTTGGTATCAATCTACACACAATACCCCATAATGGCAAAGCAAATACAGGTTTTTAGACATGATTGCAAATTCTTATTTACATAAGTATTCAGACCCTTTGCTATGAGACTCGAAATTGAGCTCAGGTGCATCCTGTTTCCATTGATCATCCTTGAGATGTTTCTACAACTTCATTGGAGTCCACCTGTGGTAAACCCAATTGATTGGACATGATTTTGAAAAGCACACACCTGTTTATATAAGGTCCCACAGTTGACAGTGCATGTCAGAGCAAAAACCAAGCCATGAGTTCGAAGGAATTGTCACGCTCTGGCTCCGGGACTCTGTAATTTGAGCCAGGGTGTGTTCATCCATTGGGTGTATTTCTATGTTTGTATTTCTGTTGGGTTCATTTCTATGTTTGGTCAATGACTCCCAATCGGAGGTAACGAGTGTCAGCTGTCGGCTCGTTATCTCTGATTGGGAGCCATATTTAATCTGTATGTTTCCTGTGGGTGTTGTGGGTTTTTGTTCCGTTTCGGTATGTTTAACCGTTGGACTTCACGAGTCGTGTTTTGGTTTGTTCGTTACTTTAATTAAAATAAAGTCATGTTTGTATCACACGCTGCGCCTTGGTCCGCTTCCTGTAACGACGATCGTGACAGGAATTGTCCGTAGATCTCCGAGACAGGATTCTGTCGAGGCACAGATCTGGGGAAGGGTACCAAAAAATTTATATCAATGAAGGTCCCCAAGAACACAATTGCCTCCACCATTCTTAAATAGAAAAAGTTTAGAACCACCAAGACTCTTCCTAGAGCTGGCCGCTTGGCCAAACTGAGCAATCGGGGTGGAAGGGCATTGGTCAGGGAGGTGACCAAGTACCTGATGGACACTCTGACAGAGCTCCAGAGTTCCTCTGTGGGGATGGGAGAACCTTCCAGAAGGACAACCATCTCTGCAGCACTACACCAATCAGGCCTTTATGGTAGAGTGGCCAGACGGAAGCCACTCCTCAGTAAAAGGCACATGACAGCCCCCTTGGAGTTTGCGAAAAGGCACCCAAAACTCTCAGACCATGAGAAACAAGATTCTCTGGTCTGATGAAACCAAGATTGAAATCTTTGTCCTGAATGTGCCAAGCGTCACGTCTGGAGGAAACCTGGCACCATCCCTACGGTGAAGGATGGTGGTGGCAGCATCATGCTGTGGGGATGTTATTCAGCGGCAGGGACTGGGAGACTAGTCAGAATCGAGGGAAAGATGAACGGAGCAAAGTACAGAGAGATCCTTGATGAAAACCTACTCCAGAACGCTCAGGACCTCAGACTGGGGTGAAGGTTCTTCTTCCAACAGGACAAAGACCCTAAGCACACAGCCAAGATAACGCAGGAGTGGCTTCGGGAAAAGTCTCTGAATGTCCTTGAGTGGCCCAGCCAGAGCCTGGACTTGAACACGATCGAACATCTCTGGAGAGACCTGAAAATAGCTGTGCAGCGATGCTCCCCATCCAACCTGACAGATCTTGAGAGGATCTGCAGAGAAGAATGGGAGAAACGCCACAAATACAGGTGTGCCAAGCTTGTAGCGGCATACCCAAGAAGACTCGAGGCTGTAATCGCTGCCAAAGGTGCTTCAACAAAGTACTGAGTAAAGGGTCTGAATACTTATGTAAATGTTATATTTCAGTTCTAAAAACCTGTTTTTGCATTGTCATCATGGTAAATAGTGTGTGGATTGTTGAGGGGAAAAAATAATTTAATCAATTTTAGAATAAAAATGTAATGTATCAAAATGTGGAAAAAGTCAAGGGGTCTGAATACTTTCCGAATACACTATTATTATATTTTTTCACCTTTATTTAACCAGGTAAGCCAGTTGAGAACAAGTTCTCATTTACAACTGCGACCTGGCCAAGATAAAGCAAAGCAGTGCGATTAAAAACAACAACAACACAGAGTTACATATGGAATAAACAAAAACAAAACGTACAGTCAATAACACAATAGAACATCTATATACAGTGTGTGCAAATGTATCAAGTTATGGAGGTAAGGCAATAAATAGGCCATAGTGCAAAATAATTTCAATTTAGTATTAACACTGGAGTGCTAGATGTGCAGAAGATGATGTGCAAATAGAGATACTGGGGTGCAAATGAGCAAAATAAATAACAATGTAAATAACAATATGGGGATGAGGTAGTTGGGTGGGCTAATTACAGATGGGCTGTGTACAGGTGCAGTGGTCGGTAAGCTGCTCTGACAACTGATGCTTAAAGTTAGTGAGGGAGATAAGTGTCTCCAGCTTCAGAGATTTTTGGGGATGACCAGTGAGATATACCTGCTGGAACGCATACTACGGGTGGGTGTTGCAATGGTGACCAATGATCTAAGATAATGCAGGGATTTGCCTAGAAGTGATTTATAGATGACCTGGAGCCAGTGGGTTTGGCGACGAATAAGACTGTAGATAATGTTGCTTATTTGTGTCATTATTTGTGAAATATTCCGGTTCTCGTAGTTGTATTAGAAATTACAAACTTATTTTGATGGTTTTCGGATGAGCAAGATATTGGCAAATTAATTTTAAGCAGCGTTAGTTCTGAGAAGGCTTGTTTGCTAGCTAGGGCTAACGTTAGCTAACCAAAACCGGTTCAAGTCGTGCAAAACATTGGAATTTGCCACGTGTGAATGAACAGGTTGTGTAATTTGGACAATAGTCTGTTTAGTTCCATAGCTCGCTACATCGTTAGTTTTATTAGCTAACGTTAACTACCAGAACTGCTAGTAATTGAGCTAACTAGGTTGGCCTGAGCTGTGTTGCCAAAGAAGGCGGAGGCAATTCATAACATTGTTTACATTACGGATGTAACGTTACCAGCGATATCTCTGACTTTACTCGTTAGTTAGCTACCGAGCTAGCCAATCCCTGAGTATTGTTGACGGAACCTTTTTGTAGATTGCTATCCATTTATTACAAATTGCTAGCAACCATGGCCCCTGGCTTTGTTTGTAATAAATAGTTGAGTGGTTTATTTTGCTGTCGAACGTGGATAGTTGGCAGGCTAACTAGCTACAAAACTTAACTGGATAGTCATGGCTTAGCTAGTTTGACACTGTCATCGTCATTATTTATTTAAATGTTATGATTACTTGGTGTCGCTGAATGCTACTTGTTGTAACTTTTTTATAGAGGGCTCTGATGTAGACTAATGTTACCATAGATTAGTGGATGACCTCTTATTTCCATTGTAAATAGTTAGCTAGTGGCGATGTTATTCTGTTAACCACCAAATCTCCTAATTGAATACAAAAATTTTGTATTACAAAAATATTGTCTCGGAGAGTCTTTAATCAAAGCAAATTTTGACCGTGTAGCTCAGTTGGTAGAGCATGGCGTTTGCAACGCCAGGGTTGTGGGTTCGATTCCCACGGGGGGCCAGTATGGAGAAGAAAATGTATGCACTCACTAACTGTAAGTCGCTCTGGATAAGAGCGTCTACTAAATGACTAAAATGTAAAAATATGTAGTGAGGGCCAGCCAACAAGAGCATACAGGTCACAATGGTGGGTAGTATATGGGGCTTTGGTGACAAAACGGATGGCACTTTGATAGACTACATCCAATTTGCTGAGTAGAGTGTTGGAAGCTATTTTGTAAATGACATCGCTGAAGTCAAGGATCGGTAGGATAGTCAGTTTTACGAGGGCATGTTTAGCAGCTGAGTGAAGGAGGCTTTGTTGCGAAATAAGAAGCCGATTCTAGATTTAACTTTGGATTAGAGATGCTTAATGTGAGTCTGGAAGGAGAGTTTACGGTCTAACCAGACACCTAGGTATTTGTAGTTGTCCACATACTCTAGGTCAGACCCGCCGAGTGTAGTGATTCTAGTCGGGCGGGCGGGTGCAAGCAGCGTTCGATTGAAGAGCATTCATTTAGTTTTACTAGCGTTTAAGAGCAGTTGGAGGCCACGGAAGGAGTGTTGCATGTCATTGAAGCTCGTTTGGAGGTTTGTTAACACAGTGTCCAATGAAGGGCCAGATGTATACAAAATGGTGTCGTCTGCATAGAGGTGGATCTGAGAGTCACCAGCAGCAAGAGCGACATCATTGATATACACAGAGAATAGAGTCGGCCCGAGAATTTAACCCTGTGGCACCTCCATAGAGACTGCCAGAGGTCCAGACAACAGGCCCTCCGATTTAACACATTGAACTCTATCTGAGAAGTAGTTGGTGAACCAGGCGAGGCAGTCATTTGAGAAACCAAGGCTATTTAGTCTGCCAATAAGAATGCGGTGATTGACAGAGTCAAAAGCCTTGGTCAGGTCGATGAAGACGGCTGCACAGTACTGTCTTTTATCGATCGCGGTTATTATATCGTTTAGGACCTTGAGATTGGCTGAGGTGCACCCATGACCAGCTCGGAAACCAGATAACATAGCGGAGAAGGTATGGTGGGATTCGAAATGGTCGGTGATCTGTTTGTTAACTAGGCTTTCAAATACTTTCGAAAGGCAGGGCAGGATGGATATAGGTCTGTAACATTTTGGATCTAGAGTGTCACCCCCTTTGAAGAGGGGGATGACTGCGGCAGCTTTCCAATCTCTGGGGAACAGCCTAGTAATAGGGGTTGCGACAATTTTGGCGGCTAATTTTAGAAAGAAAGGGTCCAGATTGTCTAGCCTAGCTGATTTGTAGGGGTCCAGATTCAGCAGCTCTTTCAGGACATCAGCTATCTTAATTTGTGTGAAGGAGAAGCGGGGGGGGGGGGGGGGGGGGGGCTTGGGCAGGTTGCAGTGGAGGGTGCAGAGCTGGCCGGGGCAGGGGTAGCCCTGTGGAAAGCATGGCCAGCTGTAGCAAAAAGCTTATTGAAATTCTCGATTATCGTAGATTTATCGGTGGTGACAGTGTTGCCTAGCCTCAGTGCAGTGGGTAGCTGGGAGGAGGTGCTCTTATTCTCGATGGACTACAGTGTCCCAAAACTTTTTGGAGTTAGTGCTACAGGATGCAAATTTCTGTTTGAAAAAGCTAGCCTTTGCTTTCCTAACTGATTGTGTATATTGGTTCCTGACTTCCCTGAAAAGTTGCATATCGCGGGGGCTGCAATACGCCACAGGATGTTTTTGTGCTGGTCAAGGGCAGTCAATTCTGGGGTGAACCAGGGGCTATATCTGTTCTTAGTTCTGAATTTTTTTGAATGGGGCATGCTTATTTAAGATGGAGAGGAAAACACTTTTGAAGAACATCCAGGCATCCTCTACTGACAGAATGAGGTCAATATCCATCCAGGATACCCGGGCCAGGTCAATTAGAAAGGCCTGCTTGCTGAAGTGTTTTAGGGAGCGTTTGACAGTGATGAGGGGTGGACGTTTGACCGTGGACCCATTACGGACGCAGGCAATGAGGCAGTGATCGTTGAGATCCTGGTTGAAGACAGCGGAGGTGTATTTAGAGGGTAAATTAGTCAGGATGATATCTATGACGGTGCCCATGTTTACGGATGTAGTGTTGTACCTGGTAGGTTCCTTGATAATTTGACTGAGGGCATCTAGTTTAGATTGTAGGACCGCCGGGGTGTTAAGCATATCCCAGTTTAGGTCACCAAGCAGTACGAACTCTGAGGATAGATGGTGGGCAAGCAATTCACATATGGTGTCCAGGGCACAACTGGGGGCTGAGGGGGGTCTGTAGCAAGCGGCAACAGTGAGAGACTTATTTCCGGAAAGGTGGATTTTTAGAAGTAGAAGCTCAAACTGTTTGGGCACAGACCTGGATAGTATGATAGAGCTCTACAGGATATCTCTACAGTAGATTGCAACTCCGCCCCCTTTGGCAGTTCTATCTAGACGGAAAATGTTGTAGTTCGGAATGGATATTTCTGAATTTTTGGTGGCCTTCCTAAGCCAAGATTCAGACACTGCTAGAACATCAGGGTTGGCAGAGTGTGCTAACGCAGTGTATAACTCAAACTTGGGGAGGAGACTTCTGATGTTAATATGCAAGAAACCAAGGCTTTTACGGTTACAGAAGTCAACAAATTATAGCGCCTGGCGGGTAGGAGTGATAATGGGGGCTACAGGGCCTGGGTTAACCTCTACATCACCAGAGGAACAGAGGAGGAATAGAATAAGGATACGGCTAAAGGCTTTAAGAACTGGTCTTCTAGTGCGTTGGTTACAGAGAAAAGGGGCAGATTTCCGGCTGTTGTAGAATAGATTCAGGGCATTATGTACAGACAAGGATATGGAAGGATATGAGTACAGTGGAGGTACACCTAAGCATTGTGTAACTATGAAAGAGATAGCATCACTGGAGGTACCGATTGAGCCGGTCTCCGCGTGTATGGGGGGTGGGAAAAAGGAGCTCTCTGAGGCTGGTTGAGCTGAACTTGGGGCTCTACAGTGAAATTGTATAATAAGAACTAACCCAAACAGCAATAGGCTAGGCATATTGACATGGGAGAGAGGCATAATGCAATCACAGGTGTTATTCGAGAGGGCTAAGACAACAACTGGTAATGGCGATGAAAGTTTGGGCTGAGGCTAAACAGATCAACAGGATGGGGTACCATGTAAAGGACCCTCCACCTCCAAATCGATCCCGCTCCAGAGTACAGGCCTCGGTGTAACGCTCATTCCTTCGACGATAAACGCGAATCCGACCATCACCCCTGGTGAGACAAAACCGCGACTCGTCAGTGAAGAGAACCTTTTGCCAGTCCTGTCTGGTCCAGCGACGGTGGGTTTGTGCCCATAGGCAACGTTGTTGCCGGTGATGTCTGGTGAGGACCTGACTTACAACAGGCCTACAAGCCCTCAGTCCAGCCTCTCTCAGCCTATTGAGGACAGTCTGAGCACTGATGGAGGGATTGTTTGTTCCTAGTGTAACTTAGGGCGGTTGTTGTTGCCATCATGTACCTGTCCTGCAGGTGTGATGTACCGATCCTGTGCAGGTGTTGTTACACCTGGTCTGCCACTGCGAGGATGATCAGCTATCCGTCCTGTCTCCCTGTAGCGCTGTCTTAGGCGTCTCACAGTACGGACATTGCAATTTATTGCCCTGGCCACATCTGCAGTCCTCATGACTCCTTGCAGCATGCCTAAGGCACGTTCACGCAGATGAGCAGGGACCCTCGGCATCTTTCTTTTGGTGTTTTTCAGAGTCAGTAGAAAGTGTCCTAAGTTTTCAAAACTGTGACCTTAATTGCCTACCGTCTGTAAGCTGTTAGTGTCTTAACGATCGTTCCACAGGTGCATGTTCATTAATTGTTTATGGTTCATTGAACAAGCATGGGAAACAGTGTTTAAACCCTTTACAATGAAGATCTGTGAAGTTATTTGGATTTTTACTAATTATCTTTGAAAGACAGGGTCCTGAAAAAGGGCTGTTTCTTTTTTTGCTGAGTTTACATATTTTTTAAACATAAAATTAGGCATACGATTATGGCTCTAGATTTCAGGAGAAAGCTGTTTCAGGTGTTGGAAAAATTCAAATTCTCCACCCCCATTCTTATTTACTTTGTGTCCCTTTTAAAATAATGTGTGCATGATGCCCCTGATTGATACTGTAGGTATTTAACAGTAAATTGCACTGTTGTGTCAACCAATGATCTCTTTAAGGGTTAGAGATCTCTAAGGGTTAACAATCTTTCCTTGTAAGACATTCTACTCAGTTTTCACAATTAGTAGTAATTAGTCTGAGTTGAACATTAACCTTGGAATGATCATAATGACACATCAGTGTGATTTCTTGATAGTCTTTAAGTGTGATTATGTCAGTTGTAGAGGAGCTACACAGAGTCAGTCATGTGACTAATAGTTTATGCACTTGAACCCAAGTGTTCTGCATCTCTTCTGAGATGAGTGACATGTGGAGAGGTGTTTCTAGTCCAGTAGAATTGAAGAAGACAATATAGTAAATGCTGCTTGACATTTGTCAAGAGCAGAGCCGAGGCTGTTTGAAGGCAATATATTCCACTAGGGATATATTGGCTTGAGTTGGGGCTACGGTTGTGAGCTTTCTCACCTCTCCAGCCACCACATGCTTCCTTCCCTTGACATGGAGCAGGCGGCGGATGTTGTAGGTGTTGGTCTCCACCTGCTTCATCCCGGACGCCACGCCGCCACTCTTGTAGCTGTGGAAAAATACGCACAAGAAATGCTGTCAGATGACGGCCATCAATTATGGTTTGAAACCCTTTTTGATGTTATATGGAATGAATACCAGGGTTGGGGTCGATTTGAATTGAATTCAGTCAATTCAGGAAGTAAACTGAAATTCTAAATCAATAATTGAAAAAATGGCATCTTTTTTCAATGACTTCTCAATGAAATAGAATGGAGAAATGTATTTATTATATTTTTTTATTTGAAATTCAACTCCATTCCTGAATTGACTGACTTCAATTTGAATTGAACCCTGCTGAATACCATTACATATTAGGTACGTCAGCTTGCGTTGTGTGTCACGGTCTGGTTCTCAAGTTATTTATGTTATGCTGTTCCACTCTGACACCACTCCACCCTAAATACTCTTCTGTCTGACCACCATGCTCTTTTTCAGAAGACAGAATGCAGAAGTGATGGTTGCGTCAACTTCCTCACAAAGTGTTTATTTTTTATCCCCCTCTTACCATCAGTCACAATGCAATTTAAGATTAGTCAAAGAAACACTACAAGAGGAAATGGCCTTTGATGTAGAGTGGAGGAGGCTATATAATATCACAACGATCTACAGGTAACTGCCAAGATAAAGGAAATGGAAACACGAGCCGCCAGAACAGCTTCAATGCGCCTTGGCATAGATTCTACAAGAACTCTATCGGAGGGATGCGACACCATTATGCCACAAGAAATTCCATAATTTGTGGTTTTGTTGATGGTCCTGGAATACGCTGTCTCAGGCGCCGCTCCAGAATCTCCCATAAGTGTTCAATTGCGTTGAGATCTGGTGACTGAGACACACACCCTTTAAACCCCCTTCAGACCCCTCTTTCAAAGTCACTGAGATTTATTCTAGCCATAGTAGCCAAAATAATGGGCAACTGGGCATTTTTATACATGGCCCTAAGCATGATGGGATGTTAATTGCTTAATTAACTCAGGGACCACACCTGTGTGGAAGCACTTGCTTTCAATATACTTTGTATCCCTCATTTACTCAAGTGTTTCCTTTATGTTGGCAGTTACCAGTACATGCCTAATGATGGCTACAGAAATACCAGTACCTCTTTTTTCAAAATTCTGGTTCCTCCTATTCTAATTTCCTGTTATATCAAGAGGGACAATTGTATTTTCCACTGTCTTTAATGGCTCCATAATCATTCCAAAGATATTGGTTTTAGGCTTTTTGGTATTGAGTTAATTGACAGTGCAACTAAAATAATGTGTGTGTGTGTGTGTGTGTGCGCATTGGGTACTGCAGCTAGATGGGTTTTGTGGGTGTTTGGGTGTGTTTGTGTGTGTGGGATGGCCCACATGGTCTCCTATTTGTATTTGTATTTATTAGGGATCCCCATTAGCTGCTGCCAACGCAGCAGCTACTCTTCCTGGGGTCCAAACACATTAAGGCACTTACATTACACATAAAACAAAAGATAAAACAGTACATCATATAACATTATTACACTAATACATATCTACAATACAAAATGTATAATACCGCCATACAACAATATTACAATGTGCGTGTGTGTAGAGTACGTGTGCTAGTGTTTGTGTGCGTATGCGTGTCTGTACCTGTGTGTGTGTCTCTTCACAGTCCCCGCTGTTCCATAAGGTGTATTTTTAAAATCTGATTCTACTGCTTGCATCAGTTACCTGATGTGGAATAGAGTTCAATGTAGTCATGGCTCTATGTAGGACTGTGCACCTCCCATAGTCTGTTCTGGACTTGGGGATTGTGAAGAGACCTCTGGTGACATGTCATGCATGGGTGTCCGAGGTGTGTGCTAGTAGTTTAAACAGACAACTTGGTGCATTCAGCTTCCCAACACTTACAAAAACAAATAAAATCAAATCAAGTGTTATTTGTCACATGCGCCGAATACAACAGGTGTAGACCTTACCTGAAATGCTTACTTACAAGCCCTTAACCAACAATGCCGTTTGAAGAAAAATAAGTTAAGAAAAATATTTACTAAATAAAATAAAGTAAAAAATAAAAGAGCAACAATAAAATAACAATAACGAGGCTATATACAGGGGGTACCGGTACCGAGTCAATGTGCAGGGGTACAGGTTAGTTGAGGTAATTGAGGTAATATGTACATGTAGGTAGGGGTAAAGTGACTTTGCAATGCAAATAGTCTGGGTAGCCATTTGATTAGCTGTTCCACAGTCTTATGGTGGTTGTAATGATGTCATTTCATAGTGTTGGGTGACACAGGGGAGTGTTGGTAGATACGTGACTTGGTGCCACAGAGTCTGCATTCCTTATGTCAAAGGAGATTACTGATGTTGATCTTAGAATAATTGATGGACAGGATATACTGACTTGGAGGTAAAGAGTAATAACATCAAAGAAGGGAGTGCCCATTGAGGGTTACCAGATGTTCGTGAAGAAACTTGTAACAGAGGGTATATAAGAGAGAGTGGCTCTTTGTTCAAATGAGTTCGGGAATTGCCAGAGGCAGGGCTTTGTCTTTTGTTATAACGAACCATGGTACCTATTTAATATCTTATATGAACTCCCCATCAAAAGTGTCTAAGTACATCCTTACATTCTTAATTACTTGATACCTGAGAAACTCATCATAACATGCTGGTAGAAATTAGGTAAAACTGATTTAAGTTTCCCTGCATCAAAGTCCCCAGCCACTAGGACGCCGCCTCTGGATTAGCATTTTCTTGTTTGCTCATGGCTTTATACAGCTCATTGAGTGCGGTCTTAGTGCCAGCATCGGTTTGTGGTGGTAAATAGACAGCTACAAAAAAAATGATGAAAACTCTCTTGGTAAATAGTGTGGTATACAGCTTATCATGAGATACTCTACCTCAGGTGAGCCAAACCTCGAGACTTCCATAATATTTGATTTTGCACACCAGCTGTTATTGACAAATAGACACAAACCACCAACCCTTGTCATATCGGAGGCAGCCCCCTCTACCTTGCTCAAACGCATTAAGAAGGAAAGAAATTCCACAAATTAACTTTTAACAAGGCACACCTGTTAATTGAAATGCATTCCAGGTGACTACCTCATGAAGCTGGTTGAGAGAATGCCAAGAGTGTGCAAAGCTGTCATCAAGGCAAAGGGTGGCTACTTTGAAGAATCTAACATCTAAAATATATTTTGATTTGTTTAGCACTCTTTTGGTTACTACATGATTCCATATGTGTTATTTCATAGTTTTGATGTCTTCACTATTATTCTACAATGTAGAAAATAATAAAAAAGAAAGAAAAACCCTTGAATGGGTAGGTGTGTCCAAACTTTTGACTGGTACTGTCAAAACAAAAGAGCAAGGTGTAAACTTATAAACAATAGACGGGACGAGACCCGTAATAACAAGAGCACAATAACACAGTACACACGAGACCAATGGACATGGGACAATAATCGACAAGGACAATGGGGGACAGAGGGCATATATATATACATACTAATCAGGGGAAATGGGAACCAGGTTTGCGTAATGAGACAAGACAGTCCGGGGTTGGTGGTAATGATCCAGGTCAGTGACGCCTAGAAGGCCGGTGACGTAGACCTCCGGAGCTGGTGAACGGAATGAGCAGCAGTACCGGGGGGATCCGTGACAATTCTGTACAAAATAAGTTAAACAACGCGAAAAAATAGCACAATTGGTTCAGAGCCCGTAAAATGGCAGCCATCTCCTCCGGCGCCATTCTTTACACACTAGTGATGAAGTAAATCTCTCCTCCACTTTGAAGAGATTGACATGCACATCATTAATGTCTGTGTACATTTAAGGGCCAGCCATGCTGCCCTGTTCTGAGCCAATTGTAATTTTCCTAAGTCCCTCTTTGTGGCACCTGATCACACGACTGAACAGTAGTCCAGGTGCGACTAGGGCCTGTAGGACCTGCCTTCTTGATAGTGTTGTTAAGAAGGCAGAGCAGCGCTTTGTTATGGACAGACTTCTCCCCATCTTAGCTACTGTTGTATCAACATGTTTTGACCATGACAGTTTAAAATCCAGGGTTACTCCAAGCAGTTTAGTCACCTCAACTTGCTCAATTTCCACATTATTCATTACAAGATTTAGTTGAGGTTTAGGGTTTAGTGACTGATTTGTCCCAAATACAATGCTTTTCGTTTATGAAATATTTAGGTCTAACATATTCCTTGCCACCTATTCTGAAACTAACTGCAGCTCTTTGCTAAGTGTTGCAGTCATTTCAGTCGCTGTAGTAGCTGACGTGTATAGTGTTGAGTCATCCGCATACATAGACACACTGGCTTTACTCAAAGCCAGCTGTATGTCGTAAGTAAAGATTGAAAAAAGTAAGGGGCGTAGACAGCTGCCCTGGGGAATTCCTGATTGTACCTGGTGTAATATTCATATGTGTCAACATACTGAATTGTAATTGGTTGCATTCTACTGTCGTATCATACTACGCTATGATTGGTTAAGAACACCCAGGTCGTGAGGTCATTTTCAGTTGATCATGGCCGGAGACACATGAACATGCCAGTTATAACTAGCTAATAAAGAGCTACGTTTAGAAAGATCCTGTGGTACTGCATTTTATTATTTTGTACAAAGCGTGCAAAACAAGACACCTGGATTATGTTGGAGAGGCATCCATTAAAGAACACCCTCTGTGTTCTGTTAGACAGGTCAATCTTTATCCACAATATAGCAGGGGGTGTAAAGCCATAACACATACGTTTTTCCAGCAGCAGACTATGATCGATAACGTCAAACCGCACTGAAGACTAACAAAACAGCCCCAACAATCTTTTGATCATCAATTTCTCTCAGCCAATCATGAGTCATTTGTGTAAGTGATGTGGTTATTGAATGTCATTCCCTATAAGCGTGCTGAAAGTCTGTTGTCAATTTGTTTACTGTAAAATAGCATTGTATCTGGTCAAACACAATTTTTTCAAAAAGTTTACTAAGGGTTGGTAACAGGCTGATTAGTCGGCTATTTGAGCCAGTAAAGGGGGCTTTACTATTCTTACATAGCAGAATGACTTTTGCTTCCCTCCAGGCCTGAGGGCACACAGTTTCTAGCAGGCTTAAATTTAAGATATGGCAAATAGGAGTGGCAATATCGTCTGCTATTATCCTGAGTAATTTTCCATCCAAGTTGTCAGACCCCGGTGGCTTGTCGTGGTCTATCAACAAATATGTTTTTGCGGAATTCAAAATTACAATGCTTGTCTTCCAGAATTTGGTCAGTTATACTTGGATGTGTAGTGTCGCGTTTGAAGCTGGCATGTCATGCCTAAGTTTGCTAATCTTGCCAATGAAAAAATAATTAAAGTAGTTGGCAATATCCGTGGGTTTTGTGATGAATGAGCCATCTGATTCAATGAATGATGGAGCTGAGTTTGCCTCTTTGTCAAAAATTTCATTTAAGGTGCTCCAAAGCTTTTTACTATCAACAATTATATAATTTATCTTTGTTTCATAGTATAGTTTATTCTTCTCTTTTCCCGGCATCTGTCGTAGAATGGTAGGAAGCAGCCTTGTAATGTCCTGTACTCGTGTCCAGGATAGCACAGGGTTTATGCCCCGGGAACCAAGATGTTTCTTACAATAGAACTGCCGATGACGACAGATGGTGCAATGGCTGAGGAGGTCCGGCTGTTCTTTTGCCTCAAGTTGTTTCGCAACCACCTCGAGGACCAAAGGGCGGTGTGGCCCGATGGACGTAAGCCAGCTGTAGTATCCATCGTTGATGATGAATGGGCTGGAGTCTCTGACAGCGTCACGGTCTGATGAGGGTGGGAGCTCTGAGGATCTGAACCCGAGGTAGAAGCCACCAGAAAGGGAAACCGAACAGAGGACGAAAGTGCAGGTACCTCCGGATCCGATCTGGAATTGGAAGCCCCCAGGGAAGAAGACGCCGGAACCTCGATACAGGGCAGCAAAGCTATTTCTGGTCTGTGTCCGGTCCGGGCTTAACATCTCCGACACGGCGGCGACACTTCCACCAGACCAGAGTGGCGTCCGGCTACTGGGGCAGAAGAGAAAGAAAAAGTAGGCGGGCGTGGATTCCCCAGTAGCTTGTGTAGGTTTGCTACTTGTTTGCTGAGAGTAGCCACTTCGCCCCTGTAGTCCTCTGCAAGCAAACAGTTGCTACATTGAAAGTCGGGGCAGTCCACAATGTTCCCGGAATAAAGCAAAATAAACACAGCTCCTGCAGCGTTGAAAACTTTCAATAGCGACCTCCATTTGAGACTGCCGGCCAGCTAGGCTAGCTGGGCTTTCGTGTCTCTCTCCTTACAGGGAATTCTCAACTAAGTGAACAAAAAGAGCTCACACAAATTGCAAAAATACTAAAAGCAGAAATATGTGTCCTCCTTAAGATTCTCTCACAGTGGTGAGCACGAAAGCAGTGTCTTTGCACATACTGTTGGTAGCAGCATTGGCTAATGTTGGTAGCTATACAACACAGTTCCAGCCAGGTCAGGTTGCAGGGGAAAAGCAGCAGGGAATACAGTCACAATAACTGTGGGACACCTCCGTGGTCCCAGCCACAAGGGTTAACTGCGTCGCGGACTGTGTTCAAGCTGTTCGTGGAAAACCCTGCTTGTTTGATACTGACAGCTCCCTGCTAGGCTAGTATCTAGCTTCGGCAATCCCGGGACAGATGGTAGTGGTCACAGCAACTGAGGGTAACCGCGTTGCGGGAACCAAAATCCAAAAGTATATAAATTAAACTTTGCAAGGAAACACTGTCACATTACAAAAACAATAAACCAAGGTCTCTCGTTCAGCGTTCAACATACGTCACACTCTGATGACTTGTGAATAATGAGTTGAAGGAACTGAAGTTGTTTGTCTATAAATAGTTTGACATTACATTGTCTCCATACAGTAGGCAGGTGTAGTTTGTTGTACATCACTCACATGATGCCCTTTTTGAAGTATCCACGAAAGGTGTCACTCTCATAGCCCTGCGCCTCACGGTGCTGCACAGCCACGCCCCCCAGGTGCTCGTCCATCATGGTGGTGTAGATGGCCGCCGCCCCCTGCTCGTCATGGGAGGTGGCCCTTCCCAGCCAATAGTGGAGGTCGTAGGTGAATGAGCTGCGCATCTTATTGGTCTACGGGATCAGACAGAAATATGATACTGGGATGTCACTTTGTGTATTTTGTCCGTATAGGCCACTTTTTTGGAGTAGTTTCGAATATGCCAACATAATGTTACATTGATTACTTACGTATAGAATGACATAGCTGTCACCTTCATAGAATTGTCCATATGCTTTAGAAGGGAAGGGCACCATCTCCATGTCCTGACCAATAGGGAAATATGAACAAGTTCAATAGCATTTAATGTCATTGTGTGAAAAAGTTTAGATTAAGAACCTAACTTGGAATAGCATTTAATGTCATTGTGTGAAAAAGTTTAGATTAAGAACCTAACTTGGAATGGCATTTACATGTTAGATGTTTGTTCTGCTATCATATTCATTATACACTCTTAGAAAAAACACGTTCCAAAAGGGTTATTCGGCTGTCCCCATAGGAGAACCCTTTTTGGTTCCAGGAAAACCCTTTTGTGTTCCATGTAGAACACTCTGTGGAAAGGGTTCTACATGGAACCAAAAGGGTTATAGCTGGAACCAAAAAGGGTTCTTCAAAGGGTTCTCTTATGGGGACAGCCGAAGAATCCTTTTAGGTTCTAGGTATCACATTTTTTTCTAAGAGTGTAGTGATGACAAAATATATATGTTCTGGTGTCTCACCTCTATCCTCCATATCTGCAGCCCTGGCGTGGTTTTATTGAAGACTTTTGCAACTTGGGTTTTGACCTGGATCTGTGGCATGGTGCCAGATTCAGCTTAGAAAAGATACCTAGAAGGAGGGAGAGGAGTTGATCCAGAAGTCTATGAGTTGATCATTGGCTGAGTCAATTATTTCATTTCCTGTCTCAGGTCACAGAAAGGTAATGGGAGTATACTGCTCAAGAGTTTCTAACTATGTGCTCATTGTACTGTCAAAAGTAGGGTGGGACCCCACATATTTTGAAGAAACCATTGCAGTAGGATTGTAAACGGTTGGCCACAAAGAAGGAAGTGAAAGCCTCTGTACCGCCTAGATGTTACCACATCCTTGAACACATTTAACATTTCCTGAGTGTCAAAACATATTGTTCCTTACTACAGTGTCTATAACGGTTATACTGCTATGGTCTCATGACTTATTTGACTAATTATATTCTATCTCAAAACTGAAAATGCATCTAAAGTGTGTTTCATTTAATAGTCTATTCCATTGTACAGCATAAATTAAGGGAATGACACATTTATGTTTGTCATTTAGTTGATAGATTTTGCTGCGAGGCAAAGCCAAGTTCTTATGATAGCCAAGTTCTTCTCTATCAATCTAAGAGAGAGGTGGAGAACAGTGACCTTATCAAGGCTTTAAACCTTTAGGACCGGTATCTCAGAGTAGGCTAAACCGAATCTCTGTTAACCCAGAAGTAAACTCTTGCGTAATTTGGTCAGCTGCACAGAATCTGCTCACGGGAGATTAGACTAAGGCTAGTCCTGAACTAATAAAATATTTCAATAGAAATATGGCACTGAGCATGTATTTTTGTCCTGGACTAGCATAGGTTTAATCTGTAGTGGAAGATCTTATTTAAATGTCCACTGTGAATATGGCTTGGGGTTGAATATCAGATGGAGATAATCCCCAACAACATATAGGAACAAAATGTCCACTTAACAGGACTATTTGTCCCCATTGAAAGAATGTTCCTATTGAGAGTCTGAGGGCCAGCTGGAACAGCATGCTATGTGTGGCTGGCTGGCTGCTGATAGACCATAGAGGAAGCCCAGTTCAGTTTACCACAACGTGATATTGTGCTGTGTTTTCTCTCTGTCCATTTCTTATAACTGCAGACTTCCCAGCTGTCTCCATATGGCTGTTAAACCGAACAGCAGCCATTGCTGAAACAGACTAAGGGCTCTATTCAATCTGTAACGCGGATTCTGCGACTAGAAATGTAAAGGTTATTTCCGATTGAGCCGACATAAGCAGTGTTTACCGTGAATGCAGTCTCCGCTAAAGCGGGAACATTGCCTTTAAATTTCAATCATGCTGTAAAGCTGAATTTCTGCGATGCAGATTGAATAGAACCCTAAAAGGCATATCACACTGTGTCCTTTGTAGCCTGAGTGTTTTTGAATCAATCAATCATATGCCCCACCCAACATCATTGGTACATTAACTGATGGGTATAACACTCATAATTACAAATACCCATGATAGGCTGTTCACACAGCCAGGTCGCTCAAAATCCACTGCGAAATTAGACCTCCGTTTGGGTAAGCAGGACGTCAGGAGATGACTTCAAAACCAGCCACTAGGGGCAACGGTGAGTACTATTACCATAAAGTAGGCTTGGGTTTTGCTAGGCCATTGTGGACAGGGATAGCAGGTAAGCTGTGAGCTCCGGCTCCGAGGGTACTTGTTCAATCCCAGTGCTAGGCACTCCTTTTTTTGTTTTTGTTTTAACCCTATCCCATACCTTAACCCTTAACCATTCGGAATGAATGCCTAAACTTAACCTTCGAAATGTGAAGTTCATGGGCAAGGGTTTGGACATCTGATTCTACAGGGAGACTCTGAGAGCTTGTTGATTTACACCTCCAGCAACTCATTAGTGTATGGTTGGTCCATGCTAGTGTGTGTATGTGTTTATTGTTTACATTTATACCACTGCTTGATCTACGTCCTCAAAAACATTATTATTATTATATTATCGCAATATTAGCATTTCAAATTGAGGACAAGTGAGACCAATGCACTCATAATTTGCCTTTCTACTTACAGAGTAACCACAGTATAGATACGTGTTTAGTATGAAAAATGTATGCACTCACTAACTGTAAGTCGCTCTGGATAAGAGCGTCTGCTAAATGACTAAAATGTAAAAATGTGTTTGCTTATCATAAAACAACAACTTTATGAGGAAAAAAAAATCTCCCCTAACTGCTATTCAGAGGTCTGTTGATAGAGTAATACAACAATGACTCATTGCAACCACACTTATATTCTCTGTGTCATGATTGGATAATACTCCATGATAAAGGAGGGGCCTACTGTTGGTTGAGTGACAGGTTGACAGAGGACACTCCTCCTCCACATCCGTTCCCAGGCCAACCAACCATGATATGAATACCATTGATTTCCTCAACCCTCAAAGGTGGAGATGGTTCGTGATCGGTGACCTCCCTTTTATTGCAATGTGATAATAATCCTGCCTATGACCTCAAGGTCCCATAACTTTACAGTTACTACCAACCCCTGAGGCTGACCAAGCAGGGCAGCACCCTGTGGTATAATATGGGCTGATATGGCCCCATCGGGTGAAGGCCTGGCATAGTGCCAAGTGGCATCCCTCCTCTTACTAAGGTGATGTAGGGTAGTAGTGATGTAGTCCCCTCCCCATACTATAACATCTACATCCCCTCAACATACATGTCACCAACAGAAATCGTCAATTTCCGAATACCACTAAAGCCTGTTGGGTCAAATATTAACAGTGGACTACAGTGGACTACAATAACAACTCACACAACCTTAAGACACTGTTTCACCTGGTTGATCAATAAGGTTCCCATTTTTGAAAGCTGCACAAGTTTAATACCAAGTTTAATGGTCTGGACATTGCATGTGTGTAGACATGATACATCATAGATTTTTAGCCCGTGCTTTCGCCTCATTTCTAGGGACTGTGCCTGTGACCATACCCTAGTTGTCCTTCGTCTTGATTCATCGGCTGCCGTCGTTAGGCTGCTTACTACACCCTTCTCATGCTATCTACTAAAATAAAACAAATACAAAGGAAAATATGCACACAAACGCTAGCTATGAAATGGATCACAAAAGCTAAAAAGTAGCCCAAGTGTATCTAATATGGCAACAATAATGTCACGGCATGAAGACACAAAAAAAAATGTATGCACGCATGACTGTAAGTCGCTTTGGATAAAAGCGTCTGCTAAATGGCATATTATTTATATTATAAGACTTTCACCATCGGTGCCCAACATCTAAAGTGATCCATCCTTTTTCAATGCGTCAAGCTGAAGTGTTGTACAGTCATTTAAATTAATATGTCTCCTATGACCAATATCAATACATTTGCAGGATGACACTTTCACTACTTTATCTGATACCAGCATCTAACACAGGTCAGCTTTCCTTAGCTAACCTCTCCAAGGCTCCACAGTAACCAAGTCAACATTTCTCCAACCTTAATTGTCTACATCAAGACAGAGCCTGTTCAACATAAACCGACCATTAGCTTGGTACGTTGTACAAAGGACTCACCTAATGTGGTGGAACCATGAGTCGAGAGGAAACGGTGAGATGTGTCAGGAGCTAGCAGGCAGCAGCAGACTACCTGCTCACCACCCCGTTTACAGCACTTGAACTTTGCCCCCTCTCTCTCTCTCTCTCTCTCTTTAACACACACACACACACACACTTGATTGTCCATTACCTCAGCGACCATATATGGCAAGCAGAGGTGATATGCGTACAGGTGTGTGTGCCTTCTCTCATCTAGCGCTGAGCGACCTTGTTCATAGAAACCACAGTGTTTAGTCCATAGCTGTCTCATTGTGTTTTTCCTCCTCATCAGGAGTGTCTCATATTTACTTGCTGTCATCCCTCCCCTCCTTGCCCTTGTTGTTTGTTTGTTGATGAATATAAATTTAGAGGAACACTTTATTTTATGGTAAAGAAAATTACCAGGTATTTATATGGAAATTATTGTTAATTGCAGAGTAATGACTTGTGTGTTATGTGTTTGTTTTTTTCTCAAACAATTGTGTTGAATTCTTTGAAGAAAGTACTAGAATGTACAGATTGTTAGAACACAATTTCCCAGTGAATACCCCGACGAGCTAGATGTATTGTGTTTGAGTTGGCTTTGGTCATCAATTAGAGTCAAACTGAACGTATCTGTGAAGTTTCCATTCAGTAATAATGGAGTTTCATGGTGGTTTTGGATTTGTTGTGAGTATGGGTTGTTTCTGTGTAGTAGAGGTCTGTCTGTGGGTTTGGTCAGTGAAGGGACGCACAGTGCAGATTATACAGTATGTGTTATTTGTTCTTCGTTGGTTGTATTATGGTTTTCTGTAGGTTATACACTCTTAGAAAAAAGGGTTTTTGGGGTTATATATAGAACCTTTTGGCTCTTTGGACGAGATTAAGGAACCCTTTAGTGAAAAAGGTTATATATACAGTTGAAGTCAGAAGTTTACAAACACAT